CGACGAATATAAAGTTGCAACTAACAATTTTCTCCTGATGGAGAAGGAAAACTACAGTAATAAATTGACATATTGAGCAGCGATAAGCTCAAAGTTTCGAAAAATCTTCACAAGATTTCGAAACAGACGACCCATCAATCACGGCCAGCTAATCCTAGCTGTCATACTCCGATCCACTAGTGGATCACATTAATCCTGGATCCAACTTTCGCAGTAATACTGTAGCTGTCAGGATTAGTCGCTCGCCCACGAGAAACAATTAATTAGTATCCACCAGCCGAGCCCTGTCAGCACATCAGCCGACTACCGTAACCGGATTACACATTGAATCAGATTCCACACTATCTAACATGATGAAACTTGCATTGATAAGATAGTTAGTCTTCCACATTTCTTCTCCACTACACAGTACCTACCATCAGGTACGGGAATATCGGAAAGTTCTTCATAGGTGTGACCCCCTATTAATTAGGTTTACCAACCAAACAGATTCACCTCATAACCCACTGGAAACCTCCTAAAATAGCACAGGAGAGTTCATTTCTCCCCCAATACTACCCAATAGTCTCTCCCTCCCATCCGCTCACTATTGCAAGCAACAACAACCGTTCAGCTCATACCAATACGTATCCTTATGCAAACACGTTCGGATATCAACGAGTTTATTGATTCAACATTAACAGTGAAATCATCAATTTTTTTTCTCTTCTTTGGCTGCTCTAGGCCGGTCCTTCCCATGGATTGGGCACTTGAGCCGGGTAGACTCTTCTGGATCTGAGTAGGGCCATGATTCCGCTCCAGGTCTCGAGCATGCCTTTTTGTCTCCTCGTACCCTATGATTGAGAAAAAAATTAGTTTCTTGTCTTGGTCCCAGGCCAACCATTAAAAAAATTCATATCAAACTTTTTTTTTTTTCTCTTACCTGGCACAACGTAAGAGTACGCGCTTCATAGTGGTCCTTTATACCTTTATTCATTTCCCTGCGCCAGTCGGCCTAAGCTTCCTCGACTCCAACCTCTGGGCCCATCTCCGCAAGCCATTCAAGGTGCCAGGTTTTCTTCTCAGAGATATCCCGGAACGGTGAAAGCCGATTTTAAACAGCCGTTGCATACTGGTGGCTGAAACGCCTCAATTAGTTCATTTCTCTTCATATAGAGGTATAAATTGCCACCGCTAATAATGCGTTCCATCATGCGTTCCTCGAAGCTTCGTCCGGCGCTATTTCTTCTGTCCTGGAAAAAAAGGAAGCATACACAACAAGAAACCAAGAACATTGGGAACAAATACTCATTGAAAAATTACTCACCACCTCCAGTTGGACGTTTAACATGATTTCCAATACAGGGCTGCTCATTTCTCGGCGCTGCATAATTTCTAAAGATAATTATCCGACAATAAGAAAGTTCCCCCCCCCTCTTCTCCCATTAGCTGTCCCAATCACAAACACTGAATAAGATGGTAAATGACCATCAAAACAAAATGTATTGTTGTAACAACAATCTTTATTCTCCTAGATAGAACAAAGTAACACAGAGTTCAGCGACGAGGTGGCCCTCTCAGAAGTGGCCTCCTTTCCCATGGGTCGGAGACCACCTTGGGCACTGGGAACAGCCCTGCGGGATCATTGGTGGACTCTCGAGGGACTCGAGCCCCTTGAGATCCACTTGCGCACTGGGCCGGTACTCCGGCTCAGGACTGGAGTAGGCTGGACGGGTCCAGCCTAGGCCAAGAGTCATCCGGGACACAACATCCCAGGCCTCTCGGTTTTCCTAAAACCAGCACATTAAAAAAAATAAAAAGGGACTTGAATGCAAAGCAAAGTTTCCCAATCAAATTTCCTCCCCGAACCACTAGAACTCACCTTCAAAGCCATATGATATTTTGCCGCCTCCCATTTCAGTTCTTCATCCCATTTCCGAGCAGCGGCCTGGTTTTTCTCGTGGACGGCGCGATAGGTGGCGGCCATTTTGAGGCATCCTCTATGCCCTTCAATTAATAAACTACAACTTCAGGAACAATTTTTTGGAATAACTTTTGTCTAGGCGGTTCAGTGGTTGTTGTTGAGTACAGACGAGAAGCAGTCACGTTTATCTGTTATGTCGCAGAATACAATGCCATCATAGGGCTACGCCCACGCCTCGAAGACTCAGAGGCGGGGCGTAGGGAAGTCGTGGGGGACATCGCCATGTGGCGATCGGCCGGGAATCGAACCCGGGCCGCCCGCGTGGCAGGCGAGCATTCTACCACTGAACCACCGTATAGGATCACAGGTTTTTCTGACATCGTAGCCTGCAGAAACCATTCTGGTTAACTAAAACTTGGATTTGTGCCAAAACTGCGGAGCAGCTGTCTGCAAAATTGTTCGCTCCTTTCATACTTACGAGTTTTTGAACAATTTGCGATCTATTTACTGAATAATCGCAGTAGGTCTCCTTAAGGGTCTTGATTATCCAGTCATAGTTTTGTGGTAAAGGCTGAATTCCTTGGATAGCTGATCTAGCTCTCCCTCTAAGACTTTCTCTCAACAGGATAATTTTTTCCACAACATCTAGTTCATCATTTTTATGTACTAGTGTCTCAAATATTGCCCAATACTCGGGAAATTCTTCCGCCTTACCGAAAAATTTGGGAAGGGTTGCGTGGGGAGGATTTATAGCACGCTTTAACAGACCATTGGAGTGATTTGAGCGTGTTGGTCTTTGCTCTCCTTCACCATTATGCGAGTTAGTACCGTTAACTTCGCTACTATGGGTATTTTCCTCAGAGTCGTTTTCTTGACCGCTTTGAAACTCTGACTCGTGCGGTACTGGTTCGTTTCTACTTGAGTTGTGGGTTATATACCCTAGTTTGATAGATATTCTGTGTGTAATATTGCGCATTGCTTGACTCAATCTAATCGAGCTGTGAGCCATGAATATACAAAAGTCACTTGCAATCGCTTGCTGTAGCTGTGATTCTTCTTCGATTTGCTCGATTTCGAGCATTAAGTCTTTTTTATCTGACTTGTTTTTACAGTTCTTGTACTCTTCTCTAATCTCGTTGTACAGTTTCTGCAGGTCTTCCCTGCCTTCTCTAATTTGTCGAATCCCGCTTCTACATAGGTATCGCTTGATCGACCACATTATCATAATTTTCTTCGTCTGCGCTTGTATACTCAACGCTGACGGTGTATTCTTTATACCTAATCACTAGTTTTTTGAGCGTCATTGCGCTTAGCACGATGGGTGTTTTGTAAAAATGTAGAGCCATCTTTAATTTTCTTTTGCTAACTCGCTTTACAAAAGTTAGGGCTTTTATGTACTTGGCGATTTACTCTATTTGAGCTATTCGCTTTTCTTTTTAAAAGGTGGTTCCAGGTAATGAATACGGGAACTCTGCCTTTCTTCTCCTTTGTTGGAGGTATTCGCTGTTATTTAGCGAAAAAGGTGGCACCTGGTATTTAAATACGGGGGCACTTTCCTTTCTTCTACCTTTTGTTAAAGGACGGGCGTCGGTAAATATGGATCGCACTTTAAGCGGGCACTTTAAGCTCTTTTTACGAGCTGTGATATTTCTAGTAGTCTAAGATTTTTACTCTTAGACTGCTTAGAAAAAAAATTTTGGCCGATGCACCAAAATGTCTAGGCGGTTCAGTGGTTGTTGTTGAGTACAGACGAGAAGCAGTCACGTTTATCTGTTATGTCGCAGAATACAATGCCATCATAGGGCTACGCCCACGCCTCGAAGACTTAGAGGCGGGGCGTAGGGAAGTCGTGGGGGACATCGCCATGTGGCGATGACAACTTTAGCCTTACACCTGAATGTAAGACTTTCATCTTTAACTCGAGTTCACGGCGCATCCTACGCCACGAAACTCGAATGGGACCCAATGATCAGCCATGGGAAGGGGTAGAGGCACAAAAAAGAAAGGCATATTAGAGTAGAACCCTTCCAATCGAAGGTACGATGCGAGCAGCATCCGTCCGCACGGCGCAATCCATCGTAAATCGGGGTGGCACGGCTGGTGGCACCCGCGCTGCCCTGACCATTCCGCGAGGGCACGACAAAGCAAAATCTAGTTTTCCAATAAAATCCCCTCCCCCGACCCCCTCGACCTCACCCTCTGAGCCATGTCGAATTTTGTTGCTTCCCATCGTAGCTCCGCGCTCCATTTGTGGGCGTCGGCCCGGTTTCTCTCACGAAGAGCATGATAGGCGGCCGCCAGCAGGAGGCATTTCGCCTCTTTTTTTCTTGAGTTGCGTGTGACCATTCGGGAGACACAACACTCTAAATTTGAAAGCGCACTATACCATGTGAAAAAAATTTGTTTTACTCAGAAAAAAACTCACCGGAGGCTCCTCGATGGAATCGTCTGTGAAGCATTGCCGATGAGTCACACAATGAAATGCCGCTATCGTACATCGTTTTGGACATTCTGAAATCAAAGTACATCATACATTGAAAATCCCAATGACATCCAAAGTAGACACGAAACCAGAGTAGAGAAGGACGAATAGGTAGAAGGTAAGAAAACTGTCTAGGACACAACTACCCGAGAACTAATTACGACCCGTCCCTCCACTTACAACGTCCGTGGAGCAAGAAAAACCATCAAAGAAATTTTCTCGGTGGGGGGGGGACAACGCGGTTCGCGGCGAGTGATGACTCATCTGCTCTTCCGCTTCTTCCTCGGCGAGATAATGTTCAAAACAGCCCACAGATGGTTCCCGGCATACTTGAAGCGCGAATCTAGCAGCAAAATTAGAATGAAACAAACAAGATTCACCGGGAACTTGTTGAGACCATTTGAACGCTGCCTAATTCTACAATTTGGCGCGTTGAGCGCACTGTCGACCAACACGCGTTACTTTACGTCACCCTCTCGAAGGTGGAAAAACGGCTATGGGGTGAAACACTTTCATTCCCTAAAATTTCAGTGAATCTTCTCTTTCAAAGACTCCCTCTGCAGATGGTTGAGTTGCTGCTTCCATAGTTACCTGTCAGGTTGTTTTTTTAAGGGGATGGTTCATGCGACTACAACTAATGACCTCGAGTTGGTCCTGGATCGTATCCCAGTCGAATATCCGGCCCTCGTGATGGAGACGTTCCTTTCAAGTAAGAGATAGTAATGCTCATTAAAATTATCCCCTGTTTAGCGTAGCTTCGTTCCCCATTCTTCTTGTACACCATTTTATTTCAGTTGGAAAGAACGAAATCCCTGACAATTGTGCCTCGCTTGCTGATGGTTATTGCTGGATGGTTTCCAAGCACAGCGTGTTTGTTTGGAGTGCGACCACGGTGAGTCAAACTGGTGTTCACAAAAGGCGAAATGTTAGATTTCGTTTTTCCTCAAATAAAACCGAAGCTTTTCCAATTCAAGAGCCTAATAAGGGCAAACAAGCGCTGCAAATCGTCCCATGTACGCACTGAGTGCAGTCTCTCATTTGATTTTCAAGCGTCTTTTCTGAACATGGTAGTCCTGTCCGCAGGCATGGAAAAGCGCCACCTGGTCGCGATGGAAGCACGGCTCCGCCCACTAGCTACGGCAACGCCCAACTTTTATTTTTAACTGCTACCTGGTAGTGCGGTTGTTCAGCTATGAATGCTCTTCATTTCGAATGCTGATAATGAAGGGGAAAGAGCCGCCAGCTACATATGAGAACTCGTCCGACCACGCCCTTTCTTCCCCTTATGCACTTGTGAAGGCGGTTCAGCATGCGGTTTTGTACCCGGGCGTGCCTTGCAGAATCAGATATGCACATTTGAGTTTGTTATGAATTCTATGCGCTGCAACTTTACGCTAATATCACGACATCAGATTTCCAAGAAGTAAAGGGTAATTTCAAGCTTCCCTATCGTTCTTTCCGATTTCTCTGACTTATGTTACCCACATACATGTGTTACAGGAAGGCGATTCGGGTAGAAACACCGTGCAATTACCGCTGCCTCCATCAGGACTGCCATATTCGTCAAGATCTGTGGTTGTTTACAAGAACAGTTCGTTTGTGCCTGGCTTCTCAACCACTGTAGAGGTATTCCGCTTGAAATGACTTTTTTAGCTCGCGGTCGTCCTCCTGGTCTCCTTGTAGTGTCTGGAGAGGGGGTCGCGCGCCATTGGCCCTCCGTAACATCTTCAATTCACAGCGAAACTGTCATTGATTTGGCAAGCGAGGTTACGCTATCGGTGCAACTTCTAGAATCGTCAGGTGTTGGTGGGTTGACTCGGTGTTTTTTCTGCTACACTCTTGTTCGCTGCGGATGAAGGGGCGTGACAGGAAAACTGGGTTGGGGAGGCGCGAAACCCGTTTTCCACGGGTTGTTGATGCGAGGAAGCAGCAGTGCTGTATCATATCGTTCTAACAGTTGTTTTCCATCAAATATAATCGCTTATCCGCTTCAACAACCGCTGAAGAACGGGTCTGCCGCCGCGCCAAACTTACTTCCCTCTGACACGCCTCTTCATCCTCATGACTGTAATCCTACCAGTTCTTACTTTCACATGTTTTCGTCATCAACTCAGTTTAATCGTTTTGCTTGAAGAGACTTCGTTCGCACTAACTACAACATCCGGCTCTGTTTATTTGCTGTGTATCGGATCAGTTCGAACGAGAGGAGAAATCCAGTGCATCAAAGTTGGCTCGAGGGAAACTCGCGGAATAGGAAGACGTTTGTCGAATATAATCTTCGGCTCTCAGGGCTCTGCCACGGAGAGGTTTCTCCAATTTTACCCCAAACAGGTTTTCTTCTCCGTTGAGCTTGTTTCTACTCGTGGTGATTTCAGCTCACATGTCATCAACTCACTGGTTCTTCAAGAATATTCTCAGGATGATGGCAATGTCAGTACTGTAAGAGACTTTCACTTTTTGCTACCATATCTATTTTATCGCTATATTCTCATTATTACATATGTACATGTGAATACATTTCGTATATACAGTATACATCAATATATTTAGTCACTACTATATTGAAGTAGTCATATTGGCGAAATGTTATTTCTCTAGCAGTTATTAGCTACGGCTTGGGTTCGCTGCAGATGAAGGGGCGTGTCTGAGTGGGACGGGCTTGGCAGGGCGCCCAACCCGTTTTCCAGCAGCTATTGAAGCAAGCAAATGACAAGCATGTTTCGTATCGTTCGTATCAGTCGTTTCCCCAACATGTTACTGCACCAGCTTCAACAGCTGTCGGCGCCGCGCCAAACTCATCCCGCCTGACACGCCCTTCAGCCGCAGCTAACAGGACGTTATTGGAGAAGGGGCTTGATTATCACCGTTTTTTGATAGTCATTTAGTAGTGATAGCCAATTCAGCCCCTGGATGCATCTGTTATTACGATCTCGCCAAGCTGTATGAACTGCTTTAATGTTGCTAAGAAATGTTTGGCATGGACCGTGAACACCCGTACCTTCCTGGAAGGATACGTCACGGGATATTTTGAGGTATGTTTGAAACTGTATGCGTTTTTTCCTTGTCCCATCAGCGCTGAAGCGTTTTAGTGGAGGGAGATGCAGTTACTATTAAGTTCGCTTCATAATTATTGGTTTCATTATGTGCTGGGAGTGCATTAATGGGCTCTATTTCAGCGGTCTTCACGAGGACGACTAATCGCCGGAGTCAGTGTTTGGTTGCTTGATGCAGCTAAATTCCGTGGTGGATTGCTTTTGTTATTGGCAGGAAGTCACGACAATACTTTGGATGTCACCTTTTTCCTAGGTAAGAGTAACTGTAAGATGCTCGAGTGGCAAAAAAAATTGTTTGTTGTTTCCAGCAATGACTCGTCTCGAGAGTGGCGCACCCACTGATGTGGACTGGTTTTCAGTAATACCTGTTGGCAGTAGCCACGTGCATGATTTTAAGGTATGATTGACTGTTCAGAGGCTCTTGAATCAGGTCTAGCCTTAAGAGCGAAAATCCGCTAGGGGAGGATAGACATTTTGTGAGTTTATGGCCCTGAACTGGTGCCAGTTCCATTTGCGTTCCATTACTTTAATGCTGAGCGGTACTTACTGCTGAGTGGCGGACAATGGCTGTGAGCCGTGGGATTTGCAAAAGCGTGAAGACAAACTATACACTCACCTTCAAGGACGCTCATTTCGATGCAAGGTGAACGGGTCCGCAGCTGTAGTACCGTAACACTATCTCCTTGCAAAAATGCAAGGAGCGCCGCCCGCGCTATTCCCAGTATGCAGCATTCGTTTTGATATTGAAACCTCGCAAGGAACATGCAGTTGAAAGAACCGGAGAGAGTTCAGAGAAAACTAGCGCTTTTGGCTATGGTTAGACGAATAGTTGATCAAGCTCCGGCGTCGGCAGAGTATGGGGACGTCACCCAGATACCTTCAAGCGCCGTTCCCATACCCTACGAGTAAGCGAACCCATTCCGTAAGGAAGGACCAGGATCCACGGTGCAGTCTTTAAGGGAGGGGGAGGCGTTCGCTTGATTTTCCTACCTGGAAGTTATAGTCGTTCCTTCTCCATGCAGTCACCCTTCCGTGTTTATTTTCAGATACTTTTAAATGAACGTAATGAAACTGGCACTGATGCATTTACTTTTTCTCAACTGATTGGGGTTCAGACCTCTCCACACAACTCCCCCATATTTTTTCTGGAGGGTACTGAATGCCCTTCCGTTAGCTGGCTAGCGCTGTCTTCAAGAGTACCTCTTAGTTCACCATCCGTTGTGATTTGGAATCGTGGAAATTTCTTGTCCTTCTTTCTATAGGCTGATGAAGAGACTTGCTTTGTCGGGCGCGTGTCTCTATGCGTACCAGGGCTGACCTCCAACTCATCCAGTTGCGAACGAACCGATGGAGTAATAATTCTCTACCCGCATTTTGGTAGGTTACAGCACTTTATTTTAGTACTTATGATTCATCAGAACCAGCTTCAGCAATGTGATCCAGCTTTTTTCATGTCCCGAATGAGAGGGCGTGTCTGCGCACTTCATGTGAGTGTGAGAGCTGCTGCACTCTGCGTGGGATACTGCAGTTCTGAGATCGTGACTATGTCTTTCTCAGCACAAGACAGAATAGCACTTGTCTGGCATAGCAATATCCTACGAAACACGTTGTGTTCCATGAAAACCGATATACAAATGGAACATGCAGCTACGCCCTCTCTATTTCTGGGATGTAGAGTGAAGGTGATTGCATTTCAGTTCAGTCGATATACCCGCCAGATCGTCCATCCAGGCACAATGAGTTGCCACTTAACAAAGTCCTTGGTTTTCCTGTCGAAACGAAGCTAGCTGGTCATGGTTGGGTTTTCTTGCTCTTGTTCTGGTAATTTTTCGCATTAAGAGAATATTTAGCGTGTGATGACCGCTTCTGTTATGTGATGACGGTCGAAGGTGGTATTTCATGCGTTCGTCTCTTACCAAAGTAAGTCGTTACTTTAGTACAGCTGATAGTTAGCGTTAGGACTCCTTATAGAGGTCTAGAGTTCTGCAGTGGCGAACCATAGCCTGTTTTATCTTTTACTTGAGGCGAACTGGCATGCGTTGGCCCTTTCCATCTCATTCATTCCGCCTTGATTCCTCTTTCCTGTTGCAAAAGGAGCGTTGTTCTTCACACTATCAAGCATGTGTGAATTGGATAGAGCATTGAGCAGACTTCGAGCAATCTAATAGCTTTACTCCTAGTTTCTGGCATACGTAAAACATTTCTTTCTATTCTTTTCTTTTGTAGAGGTTTCGACGACGATTTGAAAGATGATAAAACTTTCATCGACGATCTTATGGATATCAAGGACAATGTGCCTCAAGACGAAATAGCTCTGAACCTCTTCATTTCAGCGTTCGCATCTTTTGTTGAGAAGAACATCGTGAGTTCCTGTTTATTTTAAGAAAGGAGGTAAGATCTTCCTTACAGTCATAGTGGTGCAAGTTAACAAAAACGAGACGAAGAATTAGGCCTACTTGTATTTCTCCGTGAGGTGAAGCCGTGCTATCGACGTATTGCGCTATTGAAGCTCATTATACAGCTAACGCTAGAGAAAGCCAGACAACCACCTACATAGTTTGCGACCTACGAACATCATTATTGCAATACTTAACTTACTTTTTTTGCTAATACAACCCATTCAGTGAT